CTATCTAGTACTTCTTATTTAGGTAAATATATATGTCCTTGATATTAGGAAATATAGCCTCTTATAAATATGGATTTCAGTAGATACTTTTAATAACAATCTTAATAACATTGAAGCTTGATGGAAAGTACTTAATATATATTTGCCTTTCTATCTCTTTTCCATTAATTTCTTATATGAGTCTTTATTAATTGCAATGTTGATTTGTGCTTTAATGACCCTGAAAAATGTTTGTACTTCTTTGTTACCATGGCATTAGAATGCATAGATTAGCTTGTTAATTTATAAATAGAGCAATTTACAATTATTCATCTATTAGATAAAAATTGTATATCTAAAAATATATTGCTATAATCTATTGTGTTTGGAATTTTTCTAGACATGTAATGCCATTGCAATAGAGGTATCAAGCATATAGCTCTTAAGTACTAGCAGGTTACAATACAACATCAACATCTTAACTTAGAAAGTAAACATGCAATACAACTTGAGATTAATTGATTACTACCTATAGTAAATGTTGTAAGATGAATAGCAAAGCTTATTACAATCTTAGAATTAAAACAATGTCTATAGATGTTCTTACAAGATTCCAACAAAATAAATTAGTAGATGCAATTTAGAAAGAATTACTTAAATCACTACTAGCTCATGTCTTTCTTCACGCATCTTACAAGTGATGCATTGATACTAGAATGAGGCAAAAAAATAGTGAATTTACATCTTGAAGGCCACTATATAGCGACATCCATCGATAGCAACTAGTTCTTGGAGAAATATTTTTGGACAAGCGAGTTATTCGCATAAGTCCTAAAAAGAGAAGTGATTAATTGTAGTGAGAAGCAAAGGTTAAATTACACATGTTTTGCATCCAAAATCTCTATTCCTAACCACCTTCATCTTGCTATTTAGACCTTTGAGATCATCTCGTGAGCTCTGCATAAATTTCACAAGGAAAATAATTGATAATATTTGTAATTATGTATAATAAAAAACAGATTGGAAAATGATGACAATGTCAATTATGTACGACAAGGGAAGAAAAATCAAGATGAAGGATAAGAGTTTAGAAGAGAGACAAAGGTTGAAAACAAAGTTGTGGCTTAAGAATGGGAAGAACATAGACAAGAGGGTAGTGATGGTTTAGGCAAATGGATTGATTTAATAAAAAGCTTAGATTAATTTAAAATTTTTTTTTCTCTAAAATAATAATTATAATAATACCTATATAAATTTATAATTATAATAATAATAAATAATATATAAAATAAAAATATGATAAAATATAATATAGTATTTTTTTATATATTCAAGTCATTTGGAGATTATGATCTTGGTTCAATTCATATATCATCTAATCTTGATTTATTATTGTTTGAGCAATGTTTGAAGAACTTTATAAAAAATTATATAAAATAACTTGGTTTTAATACAAAAAGATAAAAAAATTATTTTGATTGGCCATAAAAAAATAAAAATAAAAAATCATAAATACAGAAGAATTTGGAGAATTCATGGAAACTTGGAAAACATACAAAAACTCAAAAGAACTCAAAAGAATGTACAAAAATACAATTTTTTTTTTTAATCTAATAGCATAGGTTTTTGAAATGCACTTCTTTGAATATGATTAAAATCATATATCATGAAAATAATGAAGAAAAAAAAATCACCATAAATAAAGTTAATTCTAAAATTATTTTAATTTAGCTATTTAAGTTTTTATAATAAAAAATGATATTTTTTAATTATAATAAAGAAAAAAATTATTTTATTGTCTTTTATATATATATAAATATTCTTTTTCTTGATCAATATATCTTCAAGAATAGTCAATTCTTGACTAAGTAATCACAAATGAAAATTTTATAGTTTTTTTACAACCAGTGGCATATATTTCTATTAATATATATATATATATATATATATATATATATATTTAAAAAATAAAATATATTTTTAAGATTCAAAATTAATAATTAATAATTAAAAAACCAAAAATTTTAAATATTATAATATAAACATATTCAAATTAATTATATAGATATAATCTAAATTATTTTTTATAAAAAAATGTATTTGTAAATAAATATTTTCTTTTATATATTTATTTTTGTTGATATATACAAGAAATATTTATTTTTTTAATATATATACATAAATATAATAATATTATTATTATTAATAATAATATTTTTAATAATATTAAAAAAATAAAAATTTGATATATATATATATATATATATATATATATATATAGATACAAAAATAAAATTACTTCCTATTATAACAAAAATTACAAAATCTATTAAAGAATATATTTCCGATTGAAGCATTTAGGTAAGTTTGAGAATCACTTCACACTATGGTTTATTGTTTAGCAATCAAACATTCTTATAAAATGATTGGTTGAGAGAAAAGAACTGAATTCCAAGTCTTCACATTAGATACAAATAGTCAATCAACACTTTAATTAAAAGTCTCTATTTGACAACACTTTATGGTAATTTTTGTATTAAAGAATTATCTATTCAATAAAAAATTAAGTAAGAAGAATTAAGCTAAATAATTCTTAATTAAGCTAATAATTTAAAATTTATGTTTATTATATTTTAAAAACTTCTACATTGGTCTTTTATCTAAGTAAAATTATCTAAAATTGGCTCAAGCAAACTTCTATAATGTAAAGTGGTTCTAAAAGTGCATGCACTTGTAATTGTATTTAGTGGTTGGATGTTGACCAACCTTGTCACTATGCATTACAAAAACCTCTTTACTCAATCAATAGGCTTGAGGCATCTCGACTGTCATATCTTTAGTTTCAATCCTAACTTTTACAAAATTTATTGAGAACCTAAAGAGGCACCAAACAAAAGTATAAGAAGAATATAGTAGTCATGGTATGATAGGTGGCCTCATAGTCGAAGGGTGAAGAGTTTAACTTGTTCCTCTATAGGAAGAAGTTGTGAGTTCCAACCACCTTCTTATTAGACCAATAGCATTATGCAGCAAGATTCCAATAGCTTGGAATAAGTAGTCTTATACAAAAAAAATTATATTGTGCAACTAGGGGTAGTAGTTTATAACCAAGGAGTTGCCAAATTTTACAAAAAATACTATTATAGGAGTAGTAACTTCTTGTAGTATACAATGGTGGCAATTACAAGAAAGGAAATAGCAAGGAAAAATAAAATGGTGAATGTTACTATCAAGGTATGATTTTAAGTAAAAATGGATGAAAAAAATAAAAATTAAGCATAGATGGTGACCATTTTTTACCACTAAGAAAAATTTGGTAGTAAGAAATGTATGGAAAAATTACAAATAGGCATGGATAGTGACTATTTTTGACCAATTAATAGAAATTGGTAGTAAAAAATGAATGAAAAATGTTTCAAATAGGCACGAATAATGACTATTTTTTACCATAAAAAACCATTAGTAGTAAAAAAAAAGATAATTGAGATAGATGTAAAAAATAGATATAAATAATGGATAGAAAAAATTACAAATAAACATAGTTGGTGACCATTTTTCACCACCAAGGAAAAACAAATGGTGAAAAATAGATGAAAAATGTATAAAAAATTGTCACTATTGGACAACTCAATAGTGAAATCCACTACCATTAAGTTGGAATTTTTTAAATATTGGCAACAACCAATGTAAAAATTTAGTAGTAGAGATTGCTACTAATAAGTTAAATATTGGAATTAGGTAATAACTTTATGCAATACTAACCATATTGTGTGTAGTTTATGAACATGAAATAAGTACGATATTTTAGAACTTGCAAGATGGGAATGTTATGGAAACTATTAACAAAGTCTTTGAGGTCCTTAACTTTATTATGTAGATTATGAGATGGATTGTTAATAAAAATTATCCACATTTGTTGGATTTATTACCAAGCGCATATGAAGATTGTGACTTCTTCAACCAAAAAGATGTTATTGATGATGGTCCAAGCAATGGAAGAGATAGTGTTATGTATGACAACAACAAAAAAAAGAAAAAAAAGAAAAAAAAAGAAATCTTCAGGAAGAGCGACGGTTGAAAATTGGGATTGAACAAACGTTAGCACTTGTGTGAATGTGGATCAGTGTGGGCCCAATGAGGGAGAATATGGATTAGTGGGGGCCCAATCAGGAATGGGTTCTGAGTTCCCAACCTGCCCGCCACACTGGTTCCCCTACGTTCCCTCACCCCGTTCCTTGAAATCCGATCACCGGTTGAGATTGAATCTGAGAGGCAGCTGCGATCTGACGGCCCACGATGGCGGAGACAGTCGATTGAGTTCGGAGGTGTCTGCTACGCAATTCTATGAGGCTGGGCCTAGGCTCCCTGACCCTGCGCTGCTGATGCTGCAGCAGCAGGGTGAGTAACTTTGGCATCGCAGCGCGGAGCGTGGGCTGGCAGATGAAGGGAGAGTAACGGGCACTGCAAGATGCCGCCAGGGCAGTTGCCTGATGAGATCTCTCCGCTTCGTCAACACACAATCATCATGTGCGATGGTGCTGTGGCCAGGCGCCTCCTTCAAGCCTGGGTCCAGGAGGAAACATCAAGTTGGAGTTTGAGTAACCCCCCCCCCCCCCCATAACAAACTCCCTTCTTCCATCCTTCTTCCATCCTTCTTCCATCCCACTAACTCTCTGTCACCGGTGGGGAACCTAACCAAGGCCTGGCCCACTGGATGACTCACTGGCGCTGGAGTGGGTCCAATAGTGAAATGAATATAATAGGACTCTGGGTTTAAAATAAGCGTCGGAGCCATTAAGACCCAGCGAGGATGATGGGAATGGCGGTGGGTCTGGTCATACACGTAATAATCCTTGTGGCAGGCGCCACGCATGGTGAGCCCGAGGGATACTATTCTCAAGCCGGACAGTGGGAATTAACTGCCGAATACCGATGCCTAGCCCTGGTTGTTTAGAAGTCAATGAGAGAAAAAGGGGGGGAAACAATGTGGAGGCTTGGAACTTGGAGGGAAGGGCCAAGGGGCTTTTCACTGGAACGGGACTTGCTCTCTGCTATAAAACTGGCCTCTCCACCCTCGTACCAGGCATTCTTCTACCAGCAGCACAACTCCACACAGAGCATCTCTCTCCTCCTCTTAGGGGCTTGCCCCAGTGTCTGGCGGTGGACGATCTGTCCGGCGTAATCTGCGGCTTTTGCAGCAGCGCTAGGAGCGGCAACTCTATATTCCTCTCTCCTCGTCACGCTAGCTAATCATTAACCGTTCGAGTGCTTGTCTGGTTCGTCGGTGTGCATCGGAGGCTGTCTTTGACTCTTCGACGTGTGATAAAGGCTTCGTTTCAGCCATCTGATGTATGCATGCAATCTGGACTGGTAGCTTGAGAGTCATGGTGGTGGAGTAAGGGTATGATAGCCAGATAATAGTCTTCGTTTTCATTTTCTCTCTGGTGGTATTAGCTAAGTAAGTTGTGCTGGGGTACGCAAGATCTACATTCTGCTTTCTGCGCTGCTGTGAATGTGTTTCTGCTTCCAAGTCTGATTTCAGTCTCTTTCCCTGTCACGTGGTTGGAATCGCCATTGGTGGTAGTTGGTCCCACCGACTGTTTCGATACTCTGGTCACTGTGTGCAGGGTCTGTGAGTTCTCCAAACCCACATCAGTAGCGCGTCACCCCTTTGGCGATGCTTTACATTTCTGACAGCGCCAGGATTCGCTAGTCTGATTGTTTGCACGGCATTGGTCCTTTGACACTGCACACATCTGTGGCTGCTTTGTAAGCGTAGCTACGCAGCTGTGCTCACTCTCAAACTCTTCAAATGTGCTCTCTCTCTTCACTGTCATGACCCCGCTTCCGGGCTGCTGCATACCAGATAGATTGAAGGCCGTGGCCAAGCTCTTTCCAACAAGATCTACACTATTTCTCCGTCAAAAGCTTCACGCTGCGCGGTAAGCTAGGACAGTGCGCTGTCGCGTGTGATCACTCTTTTCTGTCAAGCTTCAATATATCGACGTTTACCTGTGGATACTTCGCTCCTACCCATATGCATCAGGTCGCGGAAGTACAAAGCTAAGCCGTCGAGTCTGTCGGTTCACATTACTATTTGAGGTTAGCCAATTCCCTCCCCGGTCTCGTGTCTCGTAGTACCTGAGTTCTTCTTCTGAAACAAGCCAAACCCCAATTGGATGTTGTTGAACCTTTTAGGACTGTGCCTGCCTCTCTTCTGCTCTGTCCATTCTTGTATGTGACACTTATTTCTGCACTGTCAGCTTCTGAATTCTTCTCCGAGTTGATCAGTTTATGCCAACGCTCAACTGTTATGATTTCCATAATCTGTTGTTTCAAGCAGTCAACGACAGTGGTCTAGCGTGGCGTGTGAGGTTGTAGAATCGCCAGCTTCGGTGTGCCCAGGTGTTAGAGGGGATGTACTTCATGTCGAAGTCTTCGTTACATGAACTTGTAACTTCTGGCTAATTGTCATGTGTGGTTGTAGTAATCGTTGCTGCAACGTGTACGGAAGTGTGCAGTGACTGGTGGCTTCCTATATTTTCTTCGGCCTTGTGGATGTCAATTTTAGAATAAAACCCTGTGTTGCAACGACAGTTTATTGCAATGGTGCATTCTGATGCGTGGTTCTCTGCGTCAAAGTCCTTCATCGGGTTACCTACACCCCAGTGCCCACGCGCAATTGCTCAGCTGGACACATCGATCGAAACATGTGAACAGCTCTTTCGTACTGTAGACGTTGCCAACTGTCTGCCTGACTAAATTTTTAGTGGGCGCTATCCCTCCTGAGCTTAGAAAGAAGTCAAGGGCCTCCTTGGGAGCAAAGCCAGGTGGGTCGACGTCGCCTTGTAAGCGGGGTGTTATGCACTTGCGCTTGACGCTCCGATCTAAGACGTCAGCTGTAGCTCCATGGGGTGTGATGACTGCTTAGCCCGGCACACACTCTCTGCCCGGCCCACCTACCCTTGTGAGATGGGTAGCGCTGATTTGCGCGACTTCCATGTCGGTTTTATATCACTCCTGAGCTAAGGTGTGCGAGTGCTGCATATCCTTTGGAAACATAGGTCTGGAGATGCTTTTGTAGACTTAGCCGGCAGAAGCTGCTCTGATACTACTTGCGCTTGCTATTGCGTAGCCACGTGCTGACTCCAACTTGCTGGTTGGTTGTGAAATAAATGATTCTAGAACTCACTCTTAAATTGATTGTGATTTCAGCTAGTCAGATATACTCACGCATGCAAAGCTGTTCGTCTGTCTTGGTTTGAAAAGCTGCATATCTTGTACGTTAAGCTGCATATGTTGTCGACACGTATTTTAACGTTTGCAAAATAAATTCCTTCGGTCAGTCTGTCATTGTTGTCTGTGGGCAATCCGCTGCAAAGCTACTACTGTGGCTCATCTGCGGCCATTCGAGGGGATAAAAATATGGTGTTATATGATCCGTTGCTGGATTCAAGCCCTGAATCTGATACAAAGCTGCAATCGAAATCGTCAGCCTCTTCAAAAATTGATTTGCGACATACTTGTTACCTGTGTCAACTGAATTCTCATTCGAGAATGTTCCGGACTGTCTGACAACCTTATAGCTACTTATTACACCTTGCCTTGGTACTGCCTAGCAACGTAACGGGTCTGTTTAGGACCGTTTCAACTCCCGTGCTCAATATCATGTCAGGTTGTAAGCCACACAGGGAGGAGATAAGTCTGCGTTCCCTACCTATCGGAGCGCAGCTACAGTCGATTTCGTTGTGTTTAATGGATATATAGCCTTGCTAAAAGAAGACCCTCTACCTAGTATCTTCTCTGACAATTTCTGGATTCCACGCAGTTGTTTGCAGCTTGACCCCCAATGTAGTAAATCTAAACCCATGCCCGGAATTGTTTATATTCGGACAGTGTCAAACTTTCGCCACCGTCAAAACAGTTTCGCAAGCCCTTCAGAGACGCGGTGGATTACTGTAGTCCACAATACTTAATCTGAGGTTGCGCTGATCCGCAACTGGTCCGAAAATGTTGAAAACGATGCGCTGGGTGCCATAATCCTGCTTAGCAACTCTATCGAATCTGGAGGCACTAGAAGGTGCAATGACTTGCAGGCCAATGGGTCCCAATCTAATAATCTGCACAATAATGTGGGGGACCGCAATTTGGATTCGTCAAGAACGACCCCGGAGTAGGAGTGGAACGGGTGGGAGAAAATACGCAGGGAAAGAAAGATTAGTGGGCCCTTGCAAAGCGAGATCCAGCCCCAACAAAAGAGGATTGAGTCTCTCCAGACCCGTAATCGGGATACCCGAGTCCCGGAGGGTATGGCCACAGTTGAGGGTGGTACTCAATTCGACACTCCTCCCCGCCTACTCCAAAGACTCACCCCTGCTTCTGATTCCCACCCTAGTACCAAACTGACTAAGCCTCTTATAACTACACCAAAGGCCCGTATCTCCAACGACCCCGGTCCAGCGCACAAACATTCTACAGTAGGGAGCATGGACTGAGTAGAAACAGGGAGGCGTAACACCAGAGCCGAGGCACAATTGGAAGCTTTTCTCCAACTCACCACCCCCGACTCCCCCTCGGTTCACCCTCCACGAGGAACTGGCACCGCTGAACAACCAAGGGGAGTCCAAAACCCCCATCATGTCCACGGACAATGCACTGAGCCTCCATCTGGCTAGTTTGTCACCTCTTCGACCTCAACATAATCTAATTGAGGGACCTGATGAGCGGACCGAGGACTCCCATAATCGCCTCCTTAGTAAAACACACACATCCAATAGGATGGCTGTCGATCTCAATGGAGTTGCTCCTCCATCCCAATCTCTGGTCTTCGGAAGTGGGGGAGATGCGTCAGCAGCCTATCCACCCTAACTGTTGATCTCCACCCAAAGAGAGCACCTCCCATCAACAGTTTCCATCCCGCGTTCCCTCTCGATGACCCCGTCGGGCACCCTTGTACCGCAACACCTACATTTGCAATTCCTTGAATGGCTTAAAGAGAGGGGCTTGGTGCCCCCGAATGGAGGATTTCTCACCTCTCAAGCTCAAAAGCTTACAAACTTCCAGCTCCAGCACCGTCAAGACATCTCTGAGTCGGCTGGGAGGCACAAGTCGACGATCTTACATTCTCACCGTAGTACACCAAAGATGACTAATAGACCGGAGGCAGTCCGCAGCCCCCTTCAGTTTCCCAACAAACCCCCCCCTGTCCACCCGCTATGAGGATTACATTATTACCCAAAATGTTCCAAGGCATGAACTGCGCTCAGAAGGTCGGAGTAGTATGCAACTACTTTCGACCATTCTTGCCAAATATTGACATTCTTTGCTTTCAAGAACACAAACTCCGCGGGGACAAGCTTCTTACATTAAATCATGCAATCTGGCCACTAGCAAGATATTTTTGCTAGGGAGGCAGTGGTCGGCTATGGACACAAGCCGGACGAAGTCGGAGCCGACAAGGAAGAGTGTGCCTCTGGGTTTCTTCCCACATTATGCACATGGTTTTCGATTTCGGTCACTCCCGATGCGCCTAATGGATTTGCCTCAGAGGTACGTCCGGGGGGGACCTCGCAATCTTGAACGTCTGTGCGTCCTTGGAGGTGGAGGAGAGGCTAGAGCTGTGGTCTGAGCTCTTCGACAGTCTCCCAAAAAATTATCGATGGGTGATGGGCACGAACTGGAGTGTGGTAGAACGACGTGCTGACAAATCTATCCTTGACGGCAGAATCATGTCAGAGGTAGAGCGGCGGTTGTTCGATCGGCTTATTACTCCATTGCATGTGGTTGATAAGTTCCCGGCTAGTAGTCCGGTTAGATGTCTTGCAATAACAAACGAAAGGACGGAGTACGAGTTCTAGCTGGACTAGACCGCCTCTATATCTTACAATCTGTCGGTGCGGGGTCCCAATCAATCACAGAGTATCATAAAGAGTGACTGTAACTACTTGGATCATCTTATGATGTGGGAACAGATCCGGCTGCAAGTTGAAGAAAGTTGGAAGTCATCGTACAAGATAAACAGCCGATTTCTAGACACGGAAGAGGTGGTTTAAGGTGTCACCCGAATTTAGCACGCTAACCCAACTCTGGGTTTCATGGGGAAGCTTTGCTGCGTGGTAAAGTTTTACAGAGAGTTTTGTATCTGCAAAGCCAATGCCTAGAGTGTCGCAAAAGCCGACCTACGATCCAAACTGTCTGACGCAATTATGGCTCTCCAAACGGATCCACTCGACCCGCTCAAACAAATCCACCTCAGTGGCGTCGCGGACCGGTTACAAACCCACAAACAATAATCCATGGAGGGTCAACAAGTTTGGAGTAGGGTCAAGTGGCAGAGAATCGGCGACTCATGCTCAAAAGAATTCTTCAAAGATACCCGAAAATTCTCGAGAGCATCCCGCATCACTGAATTAATAGACGACCAAGGTGATGTGTTCACTGATCAAGGCAATTTGGAAAAACTATGCTGCGGGTACTACGCAACCCTGTACTCAGAAGGTAATCACTTTGTCAATCAGGTAGGCGCGGTGGACCAAATTCTAAGCGGACTTCATGACCGCCTCTCCCCAAGATCAAGAAGCGCCTCAAAGCCCCATTTGTTTGAGCGAGTTAGAGGCCGCACTTAATGGGATGGTAGTCGGACGCGCCTCAAGCCCCGATGGAGTGATCACAGAATTGTACAAAAAAATTTGGGATCTCATCAAGGGCGATTATCTCCGCATGCTGCAGTAAGCCAAAAAAACTTCACAATTATCGCTTGAGGTCACTAATGGGCCCATTTTTCTACTCCACAAAGGTGGGCAGCGGAACCAACTCACGAATTGGCGACCCATAATGTTGCTAAATGTAGCATATAATTTTTTTGCCAAAGCCCTCCAACCGATCTTGATGGAAATCATCAGTTATGACCAGTCGGCATTTTTGACAATGCGATTCATATTTGATAATGTCTTACTGACTTACAAAATGATTGACTAGGCCTCCCACACTAACCAATCGCTCATCTTTTTAATACTTGTTTTAGTAAAGCGTATGATATGGTTGACTGGCGGTTCCGTCACCGAGCCATGACGGCCTTTGAGTTCCCAAGTGAATTCATCTCTATGGTCCAGCTTCTGTTCGTGGATGCCATTGCGAGCGTCAAGATTATTGGGGTCGTATCCCCGGCCTTGAGAATCGAAAGAAGAGTGCGCTAGGGGTGCCCCCTGGAGCTGTATCTCTTCCTCCTTGTTGTTGAGTGTCTCAACGTAGTAATCAAAAAAAGAGCGGCTTTCGGCCGATTTAGAAGCATCAGACTCCTAGTTGACAATCGGCAGCAGATCATCGCGCAGTGCACCGATGACACGTCTCTAACAATCATGGGAGAAGAAACCTTAGCGAAAGCAGTCATTAATGTGCTGGACTCATTCTGTGTAGGATTGGGCCTGTGTATCAACTGGCGGAAATCTTGTGGTTACTGGAAAACTAGAAACACCACTGATTGCCCATGTGGACCAACCACCTGGGTGTTACATGGATTAAGGGAGAAGCTATCAACAAGGTGTTAGGGACGCCACCCCGGCTATCCATGTCCTCGCAAAACGCTGATGACTTTCTACAGGAGAAGATCAATAAAAAATTATAGTATTGGTGTGTGGCCAAAATCAACTCTATCGATCGAGGAGTCATTGCAAATAAAGTGTTGTCCGCTTCTTTCTATTTTGCATTGATCTGGAAGGAACCAAGGCTGGGATCTCAACGACAAGAGCCAGCATCCAGAACTACATGTGGTCCGGCTCGTTACACCAAGCTCGAAGCAAAGTATCCTAACTCTAATGTTGTCAACCAAAAGAGGGGTGGCCTCGATCTTATCAACCCTTTGGATCTTAAAGGCTTGCGAGCCTCGGAACGGTTTGAGATTCTGCCAGATGAAAACGGAGCATGGGACGCTGCCACTTGAAATCTTCCGGACGTTTGGCGGCGGCTCCCCACTCCAATTCAGTCGGCACTGTGCAATCAGGAATGGTTGGGCTATTATCAAGAAGATACCAACGGTCTGCCAAGCTATATGTTTTGATTCTTGCAAGGCATGCCCATCTCCACAGGAGGCCCCTCACAAGTTTGGTCCATCGCGGCGAGCACCCCAATTTTCATAGTCTTACCGACCTCTTGATCTCTCGTCCAATCCCCATCCCCGCCAACTCCACTAGGCGACAGTTACCTCCCTCTCAATATTCAGG